TAATTTAATGCCTTATGTTTAAATAGGCCATAACATATTCTTAGTAAATATCTATATCTGAATACTTAATTGTTTTGTTAAATAGTTTTTCTTGTTGTGGGATCGCACTTTGTACTAATTCGGTAGGATGCCCCATATATGGATGATTCATAATCTTACAAATTGGAGTTAAATTCCAACTGGGATTATTTCTGACAATGGGCCTCTTTCTTGGTTATTAAATGAGGTTTTCTTATGAAAAATACGAGAGAAAAACAAACAGCAGCGCCACGCCTATCACTGTCCATACGTGCATGCGCAGTCTGAGCGTTGTGGGTGGAGAGGATTTTTCTGTTTATTTTCGTGGCCAGTTAAACGTGTAGTAATTATATTATAGGTTCACTTTGTATTGTATTTAGAACAACAGATAAACGGGTAAGTGTTTTTGTTTTATGCCGTTGTAAAAGATGCTATGAGGTAGTGGAGTTCGTCCGTCAGAGGAGAAGGGTAGCTAACAGCAGGCTTGCCAAAACATCATTATTGCAGGCTAGTTATCGTTAGCATATCGGTATTTAGGAGGCTTAAACCACTCACTTATTATCATCTTGTACCACTGGGACGAACGCTGCATCGCGGGTATATGACTGTAAGTCCAGGAATATGTTCGTTTGGATAAAATTAATGATACGAAAGCTTTCTGAATCAGCGTTAGCTTGCTGTAGCTAATGGTATACTACTGCAATCACAGTAATAGCTAGCAGAGACACCCAACAGAAGCTAGGCAATGTTAGTTATACTAATGCTCCCTAACAATTTTATATTCATGACATATGTGTATCTATTTAAATAGGCGAGATTATAACTGAGCATTATAATTTAAGCGAGGTTGCGTTGCACTACTACTGAGGCTTATTTAAGAAATGTTAAACTCCCCTGTTTATTAGCTGATAACCATCTGGGCTAATGTTAGCTATGTTGCTTTGAAATAACCTTTTTAATCTAAATTTGATAAACCGACGAGGAAACGCAGTTTCTGGTGCCAATAGAATATATGTGGTGAATTTTAGCCTAAATGTAATGGCCATATTTGCAGAGGGCGACCATTTGCAGTTTCTGTGAGCTGTAATGCAGTGGTTGTCAATTTGTAATGGCACAATTAGCACTTGATAATGTTGTTAGAAGTAAATATGTCAGCACGGTTCTTGTGGTCCTTATTGTACATTGCTTTGGATAAAAGCACAAGCTAAATGCTTTGTAATTTATGCTTAAAGCAAGTGACAGGAGTTAACACAATTACAAATGTAAATGGGAGATATCCAGACAACCTTCTGTATTGACCCCTAAAGGTTTGGAAAGTTGCCATTAAACCCTTTCTTCACAAACAATGGCTTAAATTAGACTGAAGTGTTATGTCATTTTAAAGGGACATTCGATTGAGGGTTGAACATGATAATCTGTTATTTTCCCACACCTGAAAGGAAGGCTAGGTGATACACATTTGTGCTTTGAGTGGCACTTGATGTCCTGCAATGTACATTTTATTGGGCAAACCCATTTAAACTCAGACACTGTTTTTTCTGTTTTAGGTTGCTAACCCACAGCTTACAAATCTCCCTGAGGTTGCCACCAAGGAGCAACATGTCAATCACAAACACTCCCACAAGTAATGATGCCTGTCTGAGCATCGTGCATAGCCTGATGTGCCACCGACAAGGAGGGGAGAGTGAAACCTTTGCTAAGCGAGCTATCGAGAGTCTTGTCAAGAAGCTGAAGGAAAAGAAAGATGAGCTGGATTCCCTCATCACAGCAATCACCACCAATGGAGCTCATCCTAGCAAGTGTGTCACCATTCAGAGAACCTTGGATGGACGCTTACAGGTAAAGTGGCCAATAAACAGAAGCAGGTTGGGCTAATAAATGCTATTTAAAACTACAAAAGACAAACGTCACTTTCTTTCTCTCTGTGCTTTAGGTTGCAGGGCGCAAAGGGTTTCCCCATGTTATCTATGCCCGACTCTGGCGATGGCCTGATCTACACAAGAATGAGCTAAAACATGTAAAATATTGCCAGTATGCCTTTGACTTGAAATGTGACAATGTCTGTGTCAATCCATACCACTACGAGAGGGTCGTATCTCCAGGCATTGGTAAGTAAGCTTTTTAACACGTTTGTCATATCTAAATAGACAGGGGTGTCCACACTTTTTTCACGCAGGGCCAGATACAGAAAAGCATACGAAGGGCTGGGACCCTCTCTAGAGGTGAGGTATGTTGTCATAAGCTAAGGTCTAAGTTAGCAAAATCAACCAAAGTAGGTACCTTATTCTTGATACTTGAATATGCTTAGACAAAAAACAACAACAGATTACATCACAGCTTTCCATAGGGTTTCATTTACTGTGTTACAAAATGTGTTGTCAGCTCACTCATTAAAACAGAAGCCTCAGATTGCTTATCATAAGGTGAAATATGAAGGGTATTTTTCAAACTTGTTATGCAAATAAGTTATTGGGTTTTTTTCTTTTTTAAATCAACTACAATTTGTTTGAAAACATTTTAAATTAGATGAGGGCCAATTCGAAATGGATAACAGGGCCGCATTTGGCCCCCGGGCTGTAGTTTGGACACCCCTGACATTGATGATTTAAGCATATTGAATAAAAATAGAATAAGACACACTGAAGGATTCTGAGGGTTGACACATGGTTTCTTTTTAATATGATCCCCTTCAAACCAATGGGAGTTTTCATCCAGTTAAATTATAACCAAAACTTGGAATTTTAAAAACATTGATCTGATATGTACCATTTAAAAAAATTATATATATTTTTTCTATCACCCTCCTTATTTCACAACAATTTCATTATTGAGCATATCAGATGCACTCATGATTCTCTACATTCAAAAGATTACAGCCCTTGTTCTTATTCTAACGCAGAATATTGACTTAGATGAAGTGATACATTTGTTCTCATGTTTTTGCAGACCTATCAGGGCTGACCCTTTCAAGTTCAGGTAAGGAGGTACCAATGTTCTCCTGTGTGGCTTGTTGACCATGTTTTGAGATGTCCATCAGTCTTATCGATGCATGTTTTTCTTAATTTAGGTTCACTCACGGTAAAGGATGAGTATGACTTTGACAACCATCACTCAAGCTCTGAATGCCACCTCCAGTCCCTGTCAAGAGCATGTCCACAGGAGATCTTCAGCAGCCCCTCTCTGCTCCCCCCATCAGAGGGCGGCAGCTCAGTTTCAATCCCTGCTTTCTCAGCACTCAGTGCAGGACCCTCAAGTGAGACACTACATGTTAGAAAATGCACATTGCTGTTAAAGTGTCCATTTTGTTTCATTTACTATTAGGTCGTTTTGAAATGACCTTTTTATAAGGGTTTGCCTGTTGATTAGTTTGATATGTAATGAAGCACATTTTGGTTATTTAGCTTTATGATCTGATCTAACATCCTGACTTTAAGTTGGCAGGAGTTTGGCGATGCAGCTATTTAATGATAATTGATATTTACAGATTCCACCCCCAATTGGAACAGAAACAGCAGCTTCACCCCTGCAGGGCCTCCACATCCGAACGGGCATCTCCAGCATCATCCACCCATGTCTCACACAGGGCATTACTGTGAGTGGATGGATACAAAAAAGAAGTTTGCAAAATTCACTCTTAGCCTTAAAAATAGTCCATGTCCTTTCTTTAATGTGATAGAAAATCATACATTGAATATTAAGAGAATTTAGCAGATGTAATAGTTGATCAGAAAAACATGTGTTGTAGTGAACTATGTTTTATAGTTAAACACTTTTTTCCACAGCAGCGTCTTCTTTTTTTGTTTTTTTTTTAAATCAAATGACCTTTGCTGCATGATAAGAACAGGTCTGGTTTCAGAATTGCTTGTTCAAAATAAATGTTATTCCTGCAGGGCCTGTCACCAATGAAATTGCGTTCCAGCCCCCAGTATCCAATCACCCCTGTGAGTAGCTGCTGATGAAGACATCCACATATTTAACATAATCAGTGTAACCCATCCGACCCTGAGGTTTGTTTGTTTTGTTTGTTCCAGCTCCAGAATACTGGTGCTCCATTGCGTACTTTGAGATGGATGTCCAAGTTGGAGAGACCTTTAAGGTGCAATCCACATGTCCGATAGTGACTGTGGACGGGTACGTTGATCCATCAGGAGGGGACCGCTTCTGCCTGGGTCAGCTGAGCAATGTCCACAGGACGGAGAACATAGAGAGAGCCCGGTACTCCCCAGCAAACTAAGAGAAATATCATCAGATGGTTACTTCAAACAATAAATGTCTACTATGTGTTTGATAAATGATTGATGGCTGACATTGTTTTAATGTCTCTTCTGTCCTCAGGCTCCACATTGGCAAAGGCATGCAGCTGGAGTGTAAAGGTGAAGGAGACGTGTGGGTGCGCTGTCTGAGCGACCACGCAGTGTTTGTGCAGAGCTATTACCTGGACCGAGAGGCGGGACGAGCCCCCGGAGACGCAGTTCACAAGATCTACCCCAGCGCCCACATCAAGGTGAGACTGCAGGACCATGGTCAATGAAAAGCAAAGACATTTCAAGTTGATTTAATGTAAACGTATACATTTCCTGATTGCTCTTGTTGGTATATGTTCTGTGTATGTACATGGATGAATGTAAAATGATTGGATAGGCATAATGTGCATTTGGGTTTGTGTTTTAAAAAAAGTCCTTGTGATCACAGTCGACCCTTTTTGAAAAAATCCATTCAGTGGTTATTTATATAGCACCTTTCAACACGAGGCAATTAGTGCTTTACAAAAATGAAAAACATTAAGAAAATGGCATTTAAAAACAGTCATTAAAAAGCAAAGATAATAAAATAAAGATTAAAAGAAAAAATACATGTTACAGTATATCAGTGTAAGATTTGAATAGTTCAATTAAAAGCAGCGGCAAAAAGAAAAGTCTTCAGCCTGGATATAAAAGTAGTAAGAGTTGCAGTGGACCTGCAGGTTTCTGGGAGTTTGTTCCAGATATTTAAGGGTGTGCAAGAATATCCTTTTTTTATTTTATTACATTTACATGCACACAATTTATCCAGTAATAATGCTACTAAGGGTCTAATGTGAGAAAATGTGACCTTTTTAAAATATCTAATAAACTTATTTGAGATGAGAGTAAAATATGAGTCCATTCAATATATTCTCATCAGATTGTATTGTTGTCCCCCCCCCAGGTGTTCGACCTGCGTCAGTGCCACAGGCAGATGCAGCAACAGGCGGCCACGGCTACGGCAGCGTCTGCAGCGCAGGCAGCCGCCGTGTCCGGGAACATCCCCGGCCCGGGCTCTGTGGGAGGCATCGCCCCCGCCATCAGTGAGTGGATGGGATACTTTTTCTGAAACTTGTTCATGGCATTTTGAGTTCTATCTGCAGAGGTGGGAAGTAGTGGAGTAAAAATACTTTGTTACTCTACTTAAGTACATTTTTCTGGTATCAGTACTTTACTTTACTCCACTACTTATTTTTCTGACGTCTTTTTACTTTTACTTCTTACATTTTTAACACAAATACCTGTATTTTCTACTTCTGTTACATTTTCAAATCAGGTTTAGTTTGAATGTGTGTTTGGTGGCGTGATCATTATTATTTAGAATCATTGCGTGCCTGTTGATTTGAACACGATCCGTGTATCCATCATTTCCTGGTCTTCTCTAAAGAAGAGGGACCAATGAAAACATTGTCATGTTGCCGTTGTTCAGCATGAAAACATTCATTAGCTAACAATGACATTATTGTTCTATTAATATAAAGTGAGGTCAGTTACTCTGTAAAACAGCTGCTAGTTATGGGTACTTTTTACTTAAGTACATTTCGAAGCCTACACTTCTTTACTTTTACTTGAGTAAAGAAGTTTAGTCAGTATTTCTACTTTTTTCTAAACACGAGTATCTGTACTTCTACTTGAGTAAAGGATGTGTGTACTTGTGCCATCTCTGTCTATCTGATAAATATACTTATTCACATTCAAGAACATCTTTAGTACTAAAATAGAACAGCAGTAGAAGAATTGTCGCTATGTTCTCCTCCTCTTTTCACATGTTCTCAGTTTAAAATAAAAAGAAGGTACTTGTGGGTTATCTGTCGCCACATTCTTTCTAAATAAATATGCACTTTTTTTTAACCCTAACCATCTTAAGACCTACCTGGCCACGTTCATGTGGAATCTACCCATTCGACGGCATCCTGGAAGCCATCGCCGTGCTCATGCCACCCGACGGCATCAAATTAAAAAGTGGCGACAGATAACCCACAAGTACCAAAACAATGTTATTAAGCAGTGTGCTTTGCTTTATCGGCCATTGCACTTTAAACCACTTTACTGACTGGAAATGACATCATTGCAGGCTAACATTTAAACAATGTATTTATTCTTGAGGCTTTGGCTGAAATGCAGTGAAACATGTGGCCTGGTCAGAGTGGAGTAGTACTATGGGTACTTTAGTATGTAAAACTTTTACCGCAGGAGTAACTTAGCTAATGATTTTCTACGAGCTTTGGCTTGTCGTGCCACATTGATCTGAAAGTCCCCGCCTGTGTTCCCTCCNGTTTCCTTTATTTCCCGCCATCGTCAGTGTCTGCCCCGCCCCTGATTGTTACAAAGGGAGACAGGACACTATATACTAAAGGTAAGTGGATACAGGTGGAAACAATCAGGGGCGGGGCAGACACTGACGATGGCGGGAAATAAAGGAAACAGGAACGAGACAAGGTGAATACAAAATAAAACAGGAAGTGAAACATAAAAAACTAAACAAACAAAAAACATTTAACACAGTTGCCAACGCACAACATTACATTTATTGGTAGAAAAATGTGCTCTATAGAGCAAGCTGTATTGCCTTCTCTACATTTACCTGACAGCTAGATTCAATTTTACAAACAAGCACATGACCTGCTTACAAAGTTTAATGCAATGTTATAGACAAAACTAGTATATGGGGCATTCTACCGAATTAGTACAAAGTGCAGTCCCATAACAAGAAAAACTATTTAACAAAACAATTAAGTATTCAGATATAGATATTTACTAAGAATATGTTATGGCCTATTTAAACATAAGGCATTAAATTATATAGTGATAAGCTTAATATATACAAAAACATCATTTATGGCAGTGGTTCTCAACTGGTGGGTCGCGACCCAAAAGTCGGTCGCGGACCCGTTTCGAGTGGGTCGCGGATGTGTGAGTGAAGA